ATAAATAAAAGTCTTTTGTTTTGATCCTTCTGAACAAAAAAAGGAAGCACTGGAGGAACATTTATTCTTAGCAGAGCTAAAGCAGGGCTGTGATCTACATGTACCCACACCCATGGCCCCTCAAAAACTTTGCCTTGTAATGTTGAAACTTTGTGATTAGCAACACAGATTAGTTTTTGGGCTCCTTTTAATTTTTCCTAGGGCACAGCCTTGATTGAAATTAGAGCAATAATAATCTAAAAATAATAACTGCAAAAACAAATTTTATTTAAGTGGAGATGATCTCTCTGAGAGTATCAGTAATTAACTTGCCCCACTTCTGCCCATGTTGCTGTTATAGTAAAATTATTCTTTTATTATTTTTGCAGTATTGTATTAAAAAAAATCTCTCTAGAATACATAGTATTGTTAAAGCTGGCAAGTAAACCATCCTCCCCTTTCTAAATTTCCTTGATCCACCCCTGATTTGGAATGTCTGCTGGGGAAAAAAGAGAAGTTGTTGACAAAGTCCAGCTACATAAATTTTACTGGTCTTTTTTGAACGTCATTTGCGTTAAAGAATTTTTTACTAGAGAGTTATTCATAGCCTGATAATTTTTTCCAGGCTGCTAAGATCTGTAATAATTTACTACTTGCTGTGAGTATGATTGGAGTATCAGAGGCTATCAATCTTGGAATTCGTCTTGGCTTGGAACCAGAAATGATTGCACAAGTGATCAACACAAGCTCAGGGCGATGTTGGTCAAGTGATACTTACAATCCATGCCCCGGGATTATTGAGGGCATTCCTTCCAGTAATAATTATCAGGGAGGTTTTGCATCACAACTTATGACAAAGGTGAGCAGAGATGATTTTTTGGCAAACTTATTTTTTGGGCACACGCATCAATTTATTTGAAGTACATTGAATAACACACGACCATGAAAGAATTAATTTAAGTAAGAAGCTGCAATAAAAGCTTCAGAGCAGTTATTGTTTGTGGACTAAGGCATTGGTTTCAAGTTTGGAAGAATTTGTAAGGTGCACTATTCAAGTCTTGTCAAATTCAGTGTGCTGTTTACTGAAGACAATTTCCAAGGAAACAAAACATTGAGCATTCCTTAAATTGGAAATTGTGATGTACTACTGCTTAGTGCAAAGTCACTCATTCGTCAAATGAAGGCTTCTGAATAGTTGATCTGGTTCTGTTATCAATCACGATTTGATACTGTTTCTCTTTGTAACACAAAGGAAGATGAGTTCAGTTGGTGGAATTTCTTTTCTTCTGCAGGATCTTGGGCCTTATTGTATCTAAACTCATTCAGACAACTGTCGAATTCAGTGTACTGTTTACTGAATCAAAATGTTGAGCAATCTTTGGGTTTTAGAGAAAAACAATAGGCCTAAATTCTTTGGAGAAAATTATGATTTCCTTCTGTCCTTCAAATGAAGGCCCACTGAATACAAATCATGATTTGATACTCTTTGTAACACTAACAAAGATAAGTTGAATTGTTTTTTTTTTTCTGATGTAGGATCTTGGACTTGCTCAGAGTGCAGCCACATCAACCCAGACTCCAACGCCAATGGGCTCATTGGCTCATCAGATCTACAGAATAATGTGTAACAAGGGATATGCCAAGCTGGACTTCTCATCTGTGTTTCAGTACCTCAAGGAAAATAATAATCATTAACTTA